CAGCTGAGACCGTTACCCCGAGAAAGCGCAACGAGTTATCTTTCCTGGAGGTTAACATCGGCCAGGCTGATGGAAGGCAGACGATTAATAGAGAGAAGTTTAGTTTTTGGAGGCGTTAAGACATTTTTATGTTTATACATTCTTTTTATGGATACAAATACTTAAGTAAATGCTCTGTTTATAATAAACAGTATTAAACAATATTTACCGGCCTGAATGTCCGAGAAATTTTCATAAAAAATATTCGTCCTCTGACAAAAATCAAACCTGTATCCTATACAGAACTGTCATATAGCCTGGCGTGCCTTTAACCGATTTGGCCACGTTCGGTTAGCAAGGTCGATTTTACTGTCTTGAAACTACAATCTTCCATGAATCTCTGACGTACATTCATATCTGCTCATGGCGTATCCAAATGTAAACAAATGACGTCAGACTTTATGAAATGGACAATGTCCGACAATTATTTTAAGACATTTTTATGTTTATACATTCTTTTTATAGATACAAATATTTAAGTAACTGCTCTGTTTATAATAAACAGTATTAAACAACATTTACCCGCCTGATACAGAGGACGCATATTTTCTATGAAAATTTCTCGGACATTCAGGCCGGTAAATGTTGTTTAATACTGTTTATTATAAACAGAGCATTTACTTAAATATTTGTATCTATAAAAAAGAATGTACAAACATAAAAATGTTTTAAAATAATTGTCGGACATTGTCCATTTCATAATATATATATATATATATATATATATATATATATATATATATGATAATCACATTAAAGATTGAATATACTTCTTTAGTAAGAGCATGAATGACTAACCTCGTAACCGACACTGTAGCAGGCGACCACTCACAAATCGTACACAAGGTCACAATAGTGAGCCCTTTATACGTGCAAATTATTGACAGCATAATAATAACGCTGATTTTACAAGAATTCTAAGTAAGTTTTTGATAACGTATTTTTTTTCACAAATGAAAACGTAAAAACTCAAATTTTTACATTTGTACAAATTTACTTTTGATCTGTACAAGTTAACATTTTTAAAACAAACGTTACAGTTTTTTTTTTTTAAATAACCACGCAGGAAAAACTTCGTCTGTGTGAAAAAATATCCAGCATTCACAGCCATATTGAAAATTTGATGTTACATAGCGGTTCAACAATCTTGCATGAACATTTCCTTAATAGTTTGCTTAGCTTTACTAAGTCTGTTCTTATGCACCTTTGGATTTTGGTGTCACGTCTTCTAGCGTTTGTTAAAACACATTCACATAATTGAATTCCTGCACTATTTTAAAATCATTTCACTCCAAGGAAAGCAATACAGTTACTAAGAAACATGAAAGTATTAAATGATTTGCGTACAAGTCGAGCTTCGTCTTAAGGCCAAGAAAAACATGAATCTGTTAAATGCCTTGTGTACATATCGACACTAGTTTTATAGAACAAGAAAACATGAATTTAAACAACTTACTTTGCTTGTGTACAAGTCGACCGTCGTTTTATAGGCCAAAAAACATGAATGTATTAAATAACTTGTGTACAGGACAACCCTCGTTTTATAGGCCAAGAAAACATGAATTTTTTAATGCCTTGTGTACAAGTCGATCTCCGTTTTATAGGCCAAGAAAATATGAACGTATTAAATGACTTGTATACAAGTCGACATTCGTTTTGTAGTCGAAGAAAACATGAATCTATTAAATCCCTTGTGTACAGGCCGACCCTCATTTATAGGCCAAGAAACCAGGGATCTATATATTTCATGTAGCAAATTTAGATCGCTCTGTTTGATCTTTTCTTTATCCGTTGACAATTGTTACTATATCTTGGATATTCAACACCTTTGAAAATATCTGATCGCCTTTAAACGCGTTAAATTTAAGTAATTTACGTATATTTATGCGCCATATTTGTCTTCTTCTTCTTCTTCTTATTATTATTATTATTATTATTATCTTCCGTCCGATTTTTTGTTTTCAACTGGAGAACTTTCATTTTGTGTTTTTTTTCTCCATTAAGTTGCACGACCTCAAACAGGCTACACCTTTTGCAGAAGATTTACAGTACCAAGTAGCTTAGACCTCTGAAACTATAGCAGACTAGGCTTTAGTCAGATTTTATCAATGTAGGTTTTAAATTCGATGATATAGTTCCCGACGTCCCAGCAATAAATGGGACAATAGTGAACTGAACGTCCCACATTCAGAAAACTTCAATAAAAGATATCGATGTATTTCAGAATATTTTCAATTTAACCTTGATATTAGTCACCGGAAACGACTGCATCGGGTGAGCATGTATTTATTTATTTATTATTATTATTATTATTACTATTATTGCTACTATTACTACTACAATTACTACTGCTATTATTATTACTACTACTACTACTACTATTATTATTACTACTACTACGACTATTACTATTACTATTATTATTACTATTACTACTATTATTAATACTACTACTAGTACTATTACTATTACTACTGCTTCTACTACTACTACTACTACTATTATTATTATTATTTGTAAATACTGAAAAATTATTTTATCTTTTTATTCCCGCAACAGGAAGTATATGATTTTGAGACTCTTATATCCAAACATGTCTACAAGTCACCAAAATTTTTCACGTACAGTCTCAACCCTTTAACTGTTATTAACGATTTCAGTACAGGTAAGTAAATAGATTTGTGCTTGAACATCTTAAAATAAGATTTTCTTCTCAATGTATTGATTTTTTTTTTCGGATTAACATATAATAAATTAGAAATAAATTATTATAACACTATTTACATTATTCGGACTACTGTCCTCATCTTTGTCGCCATTTTTGTTAGAAGGTTTCGGCCGTTGTACGCTTCGGCCATTCTTCAGGTGGTTGGAATGTCGAACTGAACCCTTTATTTCGCTCGCTGGGGTAGACTGTTCTAGTTCCACGTGCCATGTTTAATGGATATCAGTTATCTCCTGTTAATTTCCCTCTGAAAGTTTTCCACTGCCTTAACCGGGTATTGAACTCACATTCTTTGGGTCCTGTCACTGGATCTAACCAACGCCTTTATCCACTGTGCCATGTGTCATTGACAGTGACTATTCTTCTTTGTGCCATGTCCCTTCAGGACATAGGAGATCATAGCTCTCCGAAACTTTCTATCCGTTGTGACACTATTTTTTCTCCCTTTGTTAAGGCTTCCGCCATTCGTTGCAAGATCCATTCACATTTGTTTGCTGCCTTCACTTATCGATCTGCCTAGTGAGGGTTAGGTTCTTCAAGTGCTCCTTCCTCATTAAGTGCCCAAGGAATTTCAGTTGTATTCTTTCTGATTCTGAGTTGCCATTTTCTTGTTGCTTACTGGCACCGTCTATGGAATTTTTCATTATCCTTCTGTAGAACCACATTTCAGTTATCTCTAGTTTTTTTTTCATCCGTGGAGAGATTGTCCAACATTCACTGCCATATAAGAGGATATATATATATATATATATATATATATATATATATATATAAAAGAAAGAACAGTAAGATATATAATCCGGTGTTCTTATAGATATTTTATTTTTACAAAATAGTGCTCAATGTAAATTTACAGAGCATTAATATTATAAATTAATTGATTTAAAATATGATTTTTTTTCCGCTACACAGTTCTAACCATGTTTTGAAACATGGTTAGAATTATAGCGGAAAAACATATTTTTTAAATCAATTAATTTATATATATATATATATATATATATATATATATATATATATATATATATATATATATATATCACATAGCAATCAAGGACTCTTTGTTCCTAACGCAATTTTTCTGTTTCTTAGCACCTTGCTTATATTTAGGAATGTTTCTTTCTCTAGTCCAATGTCTGTTTGGATCCCGGTGTCGCATTTCAATACTCTGTCTAAACACTTCCCAGATGTTTAAACTTCTGTACCTGCTTTGTGTTTGCATCTCCGATCCGTAACTCGCATCTTGGGATTGTTCTCTTGGTGATGACGACTCTTTCTGTTTCTTTTACAGTTGATAGTTAGTCCTTCTTTCTCGCTTTCTTTTCCCACCCTAGTGTTATAATAAAAGCGATCAGCGAGTTATGTCCGTATTTCGGCAAAGGCTGAGTGTGTTAACTATTGGTTTTTAGGGGGCGAATCTGGAGAAAATTTTGAGGGAACAGTGTTTTTTGGAAATGTACGATTTTACATTTTCTTGCATTTTCCTTCTTTGTCAGTTACTCTTGTAGCATACCAACGGACGATTACGGGTATGTCCCCATTCACATAAATACAGTAGTAAATACTGTATGTTGGTCTGCAGTTGGAGATTCGTCTCTCCAGCTGTTCTGGTCAAACTCTCTGCCTCTAAGCAGACAGGATCCCCAGACGAGGCTATATCCAAGGATAGAGCATAATCTCGGGAAACAGCTACTCGACCCCGTTTTATGCGGGGTCTACGGGGAATTTCTGGCCGAGCCTATGGGCTCAGATATCCCACATTAAATTCGGCCTTGTGCCACATCTGACCACGTGGGGCGGTTGGTAGATATCCTGCAGTTGGAGATTCGTCTCCAGCTGTGCTGGTCAACTCTCTGCCCCCGAGCAGACAGGATCCCCAGACGAGGCTATATCGAAGGGCAGAGCCTCGTCTCGGGAAACAGCTACCTGATCCCGTTTTATACGAGTTCTACGGGGAATTTTTGGCCGAACCTACGGGCTCCGATACCCCACATTAAATTCCAATTTGTGCTACATCTGACCGCGTGGGCGGTTGGTAGATATCCTGCAGTTGGAGATTCATTGTAGAATTCACTTGACTCACTTCTAGCAGTTAACTACTTCTTCTACGCTCCGCTGGCGAATCTTATAGGTGTTGTTCTTGTCCTAAGTATTATCGTTCATTACCAACCGTCGTTTGATTATTCTATTCAGTAACATTTCCTAGGTTACAACAGTTACCTCGAAGGTCTCGTCAATGAGATGCAAAAGCGCTGAGAAAGAAAAGGAGTCAGCTCATAGATTATTCCCTGTTTCTCAGTCAGTTATACGTGATACACGCTTAGACGTTCATGTATCTTTTGATACATGACTGACGTTTTGTTTTTCTTTCTGCGGTAGACCAGTTGCCATCCAAGGCTACAGAACCTGGTCTGTTCTGCTATTTATCCATAGCTGGGAGAGAAGAGGTATTAGCATGTAAATGAATGTAATGGATTCGACTGGAATTCGAACTCGGCTCAATCCGAGCCGTTATCCATGACTCCACGGTGCCTCCCTGTTTTTAGTAACACATAATCTAGTATTATCTGCTATATTTGCATGGAAGAAAAGATAGACGCTGCCAAGTAACTCCTGCCCACGAAGAACTTAGCATCACCTCCAGACAACATTCTAGATCATGAGACCACTCGGGTCACCAATTATTCAGAGAAAACAACGGTAATAAATTCGCTACAAATGCCAGTAGTAACTTATAACAAAGTTACCGGAATGGTTTCTACCAGCAATTGAATCTGTAATTAGTGGCTGATTTTATTGCGAATTACTGTGGTTGGAATTTGCTTCATTCCCTTCGTATTTCATTGGTTAAAAAGAAGTTCCATTCAAACTGCTTCATTCCAAGAACTTCTACTTTATGAAACAAACTCCAGAGATGATGCTTCTTAGATCATTACAGTCTTAACTAATTCAAGTCACGGGATAACCTTATCTACTTTCAAAAAACACATTTATTAACCTTCTATATTGTTGTGCTCTTGGGCCTTGGGTGAACAACATTACAAAAAGGTGTGAATTATAAATGTTTGAGATAGCAATGTAACAGCATTACTAGTGTTATTATGTTCGCTGTATCTTTTGTAATATCTGTAAAAAATAAAAATAAAGTATTACTTTTCGAAATGTTCAACATATATATATATATATATATATATATATGTATGTATATATTATTTATTTTAGGATATTACATCGAAAACATGTCAAAATCGCTATACAATTTGAATAATAATTATATATATAATTATATATATATGTATATGTATGCATGTATGTATATATATATATATGTGTGTGTGTGTGTGTGTGTGTGTGTATTGACCACTAATATTATCAACCTATATATATATATATATATATATATATATATATATATATATATATATATTAGAATGGATTTTATTGATACGAACGGAGCGCCTATTCAAATAAGAATATCCGCTAAAAAAACATTTGGCTGGGAACCAGTACCGCAGTGAAGATGACGTCATATCTGCTCTTGATGATTTTTTGACCAACAGGATGAGAAGTCTTCTTTGAGCTGTCTAATGTAAGTTTACCTGGAAAGAAATATTGCAGTTATTAATAAGAGTTGAAATTAATGCATGCATGATTTCAAGATTTCACAGGTCTAGTATCACTCCTTCATAGACAGTCTATGAGCTTTTCATCCCCACCATATATATATATATATATATATATATATATATATATATATATATATATATATATAATAAAAAGGCTTAAACACTAATATTCCATGGTTATAATTTATTATATTGGAATCGTAATCACGATCCAATTCATCAGACCTACAAATTCAAAAAGAAATCGGAAAATATAACTCCGGGTATAAAAAATAAAATTTTATTGAGAGTGTATGCACGGGGGTGGGAGACAAGTATGAGAAGGAAATGAAAGCTCTAGAGAGGGGTAACAGACGAAAGAAGAGTAGGAAGGCCTAAAGGGGAAGGTGGGGATTAAAATTTAACAGAGAGAAGTTTTAAAGAGAGGAGTTAAATAACGCTTTAAATGAGTGAGATACAGATAAATATGAATTATTTTTCGATGCAGTTGAGTTCTACCTGGATTCTATCCTCTTGGAAATTTATATATATATATATATATATATGTATGTATGTATGTATGTATATATATATTTATATATTTTATATATATATATGTGTGTGTGTGTGTGTGTGTGTGTATTGACCACTAATATTATCAACCTATATATATATATATATATATATATTAGAATGGATTTTATTGATCCGAACGGAGCGCCTATTCAAATAAGAATATCCACTAAAATAACGTTTAATGTGATATCTATCTATCTATCTATCTATCTATCTATCTATCTATCTATCTATCTATCTATCTGTCCCACCCATAGACTTAAGGTTAGAAATGGCATCATGATCTTTTACAGTAACTAATTAAAAAAAAAATTTGCATAGATAAAGCCCTTCGTAAGGTGTGGGCTCTACTCGTGAGAACTATTTTTGAATTTTTTTAAGGCATGGGCTTCCAGGAATCCCTTCAATGAGTCTATTGGAATCTTTTCCAATAAATCAGAGGGCTCCAAATACAACAGGGATTGTTCCATGTGCCACATTTTTTTAGATGTCGATTTGCATTATTATTATTATTATTATTATTATTCAGGGGTTTCCTATAATATTGACATGACCCTTGGAAATTGTACCGTTCGTCCGATTAGCCAACTGCCCACAGATGCGAAAACAGTGGACAGTCGACATGTAAGGATGACCAAACCACAAGAATTTTTTCATCTGCAGAATCATTTTTATCAAGGAGTGGTGAGTTTATTGAAATATCAAATGTTTTTACTCGTACGCCATTATTAATATCTGAATTTTAAATCACCAAAGGGTTTTGATTACTCGTTTTTTTCAGGCCTCGTTTAATAAGATTATTTCCTCCTCCTCTTCTTCTTTGTACTGCGCCCATTCATGATGAAAACGATCATGGCTCTCCCCAATTTCTTGCCGTTTGGAGCTCTTAGTAAATTTTGTCGTTATGTAGTTTATGCGCTGTTTTCCTCTGTCCCTCTTGCCTTCAATATGCCCTCTGAGTGTCAGATTTACTAAGTACTCTTTCCTTATTATGTACCTTTTTGTTTCCATTTTCCCTAAAACTTACACTTTGTAACAGAGAGAGGTATACACATATACACTCACATGAATGCACACACGCAAATATAACTTTTATTGACTGGAAATGGAAATGGTGTTTATATATCAAAGTACAATTTGGGTTAAGATGTGTGTTTACCGATGAGAAACACGATCTCAGACAGGAGGCGATGTTTTAAATCTGGGTCATTAGAAAATACAATGAAAAAATGATCTAAATAAAATTTATCGGTTAAAAATTGAAGTAAAGCTTACTCAGGCTACGAGATATTTGGTTTTGTTTAACAGTATTTGTTTTGAATAAAAGGTTGAATCAATGTTTAGATATCCCAAAGTATAATTTTGATGAAGCAAGAAGAACTCGTGGTAAATAATTGGAGAATCGGTTTACATGTCAAGGGATAGTTTTTGGTACTCATGATAATCGCGTGCCGGGTCAAGGGTCGATTCATGATCAAACAGATTTATCTATATAAACCAGCGTAGTTATGCTGAAAAAAGGCAGACGGCCGAGCGAGACGGAAGAGGCCAGACGGGACAGAGAGACGGGAGAGACCGTAATCAGTCGGTACATTGCCGTCACGTGCGTGGGTACCCGCAGGCGACCATTACGGGTTGCGGCGCTACAAGGCAGCCGAGAAAGGCAGCCGGGAAAAGCAGTCGAGAGAGAATTCAAAGGCAGACGGTCGAGCGAGATGGAAGAGGCCAGACGGGAGAGAGCGCGACTGGTCGGCATATCGTCGTCACGTGCGTGAGCACCCGCAGGCGATCGTTACGTGTCGCGGCGCTACAAGACAGCCGAGAAAGGCCGACGAGAAAGAGAGACGAGAGAGAGAGAGAGAGAGAGAGAGAGAGAGAGAGACGGAAGCAGACGGTCGAGCGAGACGGAAGAGGCCAGATGGTCGAGTGAGTCACGAGAGATTTGCGGGAGTATTAGAGAAGGAAGACTGCCCCCCTGTTCTGAGAAGTCTGTATGAGACTGGACTACTAGTCATAAACCTACCCCAGGCGATTCAATACGCGTTTATTAAACCCTCTCTCTGTTGGGAATTCGCTGGATGCATTTTGTCTTTTTCTTTTTCTTTTCTCATTTATGTTAAATGTTTTTATTCTCCCTGTAACCTCTGTTCTGATGTTATCTTCTTATATAAAAGACGTCACTATTTCCCCCATTGTTGTCGGGCCTCTGCAGATAGTATTTCTTGATTTATTTTGCCACATTCTAAACTTCCTACCACCAACTCTCACAGCCATGTCCACACCCCCAGTCAACCGTGAACGTATGGACAACACCCCGCTTAGTGGATCTAAAAACTAACACAGCGTGGGCAGCAAGCAGGACTTGACCAGTTGATCGGTCGAAATAATTTACGGGTACTCAGGGAGCGTACGGCCAGTTACCCCTAAGTTCGGTTCGGACCGAGTGGACACCTCAACCCAAAGAGGAAGACGCCGGAGGCTGAGAGGCTGGGGACGAAGTGGTAGAATTTACGAAATTCAAGCACTTCGTTGTAATGGCCTAATTGGTCATAATCCATTTTAATAGTCTCAAACACAAAGACTCGAAAGGGCTATTACTTGCTAAGGAAGGGGTATCGCCAATGAGAGGGGTCATCAACTGCAGTAGTGGGGCACATCATTTATAAAAGGGGCATCTGGTTGAGTGCATTATATCACATTAAAATTAGTTTGCATCCAATTCAAAGATGGTCGCGGTCAAAAATTTTCAATTAAATTTTCATGGGTTTGTCTTTTAGAAGATGTATAATTATTTTCTTTTCTTTTCTTTCCAGAGAACGACTCGAGACATTGAGTGTGACGTGTGGATAGGAAAAAAACTAGACAAAGAACAAAAAGCAAACTATACAACCGAATGGTATTTCGCAAGACCTGTAAGTTTACAATTCTATGTGTATGTGTTTTTGTTTCATATGAATGTTGGTTTGGGAAAGTTTTAATTCTTTCAGGAATGGAGATATTTGAAGAGACCCTGGGCGGAGTTTTATATTTTCATAAGATTCAATAGCCTCATAACCAACATAGATGAGTATAAAATGTTTAAAAAGAAAAGAAAACGGCTGTGTAGATAATCTGTTGTTATTTAAATAATATATAATACATATTTATTATTATTAGACCATCGAATTATTTTAGTCGATAAATGACAAAACGGGGAAGGAAATCTAGATAAATTAGTATTAGTTAATTTATAGTGAATGGTTTCGTGAATTAAAGCAAATGGCGGATAGAAATTATGTACGTGTGTCAATACATGTGTGTATGTGTAGTTACATTTATGTGTGGATGTGGGAACGTACATGCAGGTGATTTGTGTGTGTGTGTGTGATTTTGTTTGAATAAGAGTATAAGTTAAGCGTTACAGATTGACCTGATAGTTAGAATAGCGAATTTCTTTTTAGAAAGTGCTAGTATAGGATAGATTTGGGTTGGGTACGCGTGTAGGTTTAGTTAATGACTTAGTATCGCTATGGGATTAGTATTTAATAAGTAAAACATGGGCTTAAACAATGCAATAAAGATACCAGCTTACCTCGTTATGGATTCCGGAAGTATTAAATCTAAACCGGATGAAGTAAAAAGACAACATTATATAGTAGAGGAGCGAGAAAAGCCCTTTTTTCATTGACTGACGCTGACTGACATATGTCAAATAAGAACGGTCGAAGTCCGGCCTTGCTAGTTCTTATGTTTACTGTTTTTTTTTTGCAATGTCGCGGTGCGTAGCACGTCACTTTCAAGGAGGCTACCTGACTCGTCTAGAATCAGGTCGGGGTTGCTGTTGGAGCCGATATGATGCAAAACCCGAAATCGGCGATGAGAACAGTGCATCACTGAAGACCACCCTTAATGCATCTAAAATGTATGATTTAATTAAAAAAATACATAGATTTATCCCATACTAAATCATAGTGTTTTTTCGAGTCTTAGCATGAGCAAAACAAATTCACGGATTTTGACGAAAAAAAAAAAACCCAAAAAACAAAAAAAATACAGACCCAAGATTATCGTCAAAATATTTAATCCTTTCATAGTCAGTTGTGCTTAGTTTAAAAAAAAAATTATAACCTGGTTATTACTAAACCCGATAAAGATGTTGGTGTTGTTCTACTGGATTATTCGGATTATGTTTCTAAGATGGACAATATACTTGGTGATACATCAAAGTTCTTAAAATTAGGTCCAGTTGAGACCCATGATCGTACTGCCTCTATTGAATCTAAATTTCAAAGGCAATTGTTAAAGTGGGTCAAGATGGGTTTACTCTCCTCTGAAATTTCAGAGTCAATTAGACCCACTGGGTCCATTCATCCCCGTTTGTATGGGTTACCTAAAATTAAATTAACGAATAGAATGAAAAAAAAAATGAATTTCAAGAAACTAGAGTCCAATAGCATTCAGACCCAGTAAGCATTCCCTCTGTTTACAAAGGAAAGGCCCACGGGATCTGATATACAAGGACTCTAGAACCTTGAGGTGGAGCGGGACCTAGATAAAATCAAAAAACAGTCGACACTAGAATTAAACACAGATTTCCTGCTATTTATTACATGCTCAGCAATAGCAGAGCCAGAAGTATTGGTTAGTTGGCTTTTCCTGACAGCCGGATTCAAAATTGTTTTAGCCTCGAATCCAAATGCTGGGCCGTCCTCCCTATGTAGTTGAGTCCACAACTACACTTATAATGGTAAATCACTGAATTAACATGATGGGGAGGACGTCCTTATGAATGAAAGAGAAAACAGGATGTATATAATAGATTTATCCCATACTAAACCATAGTGTTTTTTCGAGTCTTAGCATGAGCAAAAAAAAAAAACAAAAACAAAAAACAAAACAGACCTCCAGATTATCGTCAAAATATTTAATCCTTTTATAGACAGTTGTGCTTAGTTTAATTTCTAATGTATATAAATGTAGATAAGATAGCATAAGTTTCAAAGTACTGCCCGGGGCCCCAATCAGGTTACCCTTCATCGGCAGGTTCGGAGTTGGTATACACCGGCCCTGTACCCGATAGCGCTATTCAAACCAGAAATTTGAATTTGGGCTTAATTAATTAAACATAATTAACTTTATTTTAATTTATTTTAAATTATATTTCAGAAAGTGGTTGGTGGAGAGACTGTCACCAGCAGCACGTTGGTTCAATATGCTGAGTACAGGAACGATGAGGTAATGATAGTTTTTCTGAGCATAGAGAGATAGATACGTATATATATATATTTGAACGCTCATCCCATACACTCCACTCCGGTGTCATCATCATCATCTTGCGGCCTCAGCCGAGATTGAACTCACCAATACTTTGATTGGTGTAGTTCATAATCTTGTCAAGTAGCTGAATAGCTAGGGCTATCAAGGGTGTTTTTTATCGTGACACCATCACTAAATCGATTGCCAACCAAGGCAAGAGAGACTCCATTCACCCTCATCTAAGAGCAGATTTTGAATTCAGAGTTTTTCCTTCTCCTAGACCATTTGCCATCCAAGGCTATAGAACCCAGTCTGTCCTGCTATTTACCCATAGCTGGAGGGAGAAGAAAGAGGATTCACACCTTTCCCAAGGGTGTTAGCACGTAAGTGAATGTAATGGATTCGACTGGAATTCGAACTCGGCTCTCCGATTCCTCAATCCAAGCCGCTATCCATTACTCCCTAGTATTAACCGTGCTATGGGTTTATGTCTTTTCCAGGGTTATTTGGTTCTGAGAAAATTGCGAGTAACCTACGTGAGTAGCTTGAATAAGTTGACTTCCGAATACGGAACAAAAACACAAAGGAGAGTAGTAAAGAGGAAAGAGTAAAGAGAGGAAGTAGTAGAGAGCTATGATCTTTTAAAAACGATGAAAAAGATCAAAGGCGAGTTTAAAAGGTTTACTCAGATACGTAAGCCTTTATTTACATTGTTCGGTCAGGTGTCCTCATCTTTATTACCATATTTCGGCCGTTGTACTCTCCGGCCTTCTTCAGGTGATTGGAATTTCGAACTGAACCCGTTATTTCTCTCGCTCGGGTAGACAGTTCTAGTTCCCCGTGTGATGCTTAATGGATGTCAGTTATCTCCTGTTAATTCCCCTCTGAAAGTTCCCCACTGCCTTAACCGGGTATTGAACTCACATTCTTTGGGTCCTGTCGCTGGATCTAACTAACGCCTTTATCCACTGTGCCATGTATCCAGAGGGGAATTAACAGGAGATAACTGATAACTGACATCCATTAAACATGGCACGTGAAACTAGAACAGTCTACTCCAGTGAGCCTTTATTTACATTGTTTACATTGTTCGGACAGGTGTCCTCATCTTTATTACCATATTTCGGCCGTTGTACTCTCCGGCCTTCTTCAGGTGATTGGAATTTCGAACTGAACCCTTTATTTCTCTCGCTGGGGTAGACTGTTCTAGTTCCACGTGCCATGTCTAATGGATGTCTCAGTTATCTCTCTTTAAGTCAAATCACCAAGTTTTTGTTCACCACTGTCATGTCCATTGAACTAGCAGCTCTTTGGGTGAAGTCACTGGATTTAACCAACGGCTTTATCCACTGGGCTATGTGTACAACGGCTGAAACGTCGAAAAAAGCCAGAACAATGGACGAGCACAGTGCGGGAATCTGCCTAAGCTAACAAAGACTTCGAAAATAACCTGAACCCATATTGTGCTGTATACCTTCAAGACATGGGCGATCATGATCCTCCGCCACTCACCTTTGTATCTCTAAGCAATGTTTGTTCCCTTACTGTCTCTCAGTTACTGTTCGGCCATCCATTCACCTAAGCTCTCCAGTTAGGTTACTTGCTGCTTCTCTCTGCCTCACCTGACTTCTCTATATCCTGTGAGTGTCAAATTCGCTTAGACTTCTTTTCTCATTACGTGTGTATAATAAATTTCAGCTGTCTCTTCCTGTTTTTAAGTATTACTGTTCTTTTTCCTTCCATTTTCGTTAAAACCTCTTCATTGCTCACATGCTCCATCCATGGTTTCCTCATCGTCCTCCTGTAGAACCATACCTATTTTATCTCAAGTCTCGTTTTCATCCGTGAGGAAATTATCCAACATCTATTGCCATATGGGTGGATTGATATTACATAGCTGTTCAGCACATTTTTATTGTTTCAAACGAAATTTTCTTAGCTCTCAATGCTTTGTTTAATTTTTTTAAAGACATCTTACGCTATTTAAATGCACCTTCGGATTTCAGAGCCACACTTTCTGTCATCAGTTATAACACTTCATAAAGAATTAATTTTCCATGTTTACTTGATTCTGACGTCCCCAGTTCGTAGCTTACAAGTTGAGCTACCCTTCTTGCTGACAACCATATATTCTGTCTTACAATTAATGGTTAGTTAATTCTCGTTTTCCTTTGCTACAAGTTCTGAAAATATTTAATAACAACAATTATTTAGCGTTGCATCTCAGACTAGACATCAGGTTCAATCTCAGGGTGAAGTTTCTTCCAATTAAACGCTTGTGGCTTAAAAATAAGCCTTAGGCCAGATCGTTACCTACCCACAAATTAATACCAAGAGAATTTCTAGCAGTACGCATTTTTTATTCTCGGGTTGTAACCCACTCTGCAAAAGACGAGCAGGGCAGAGATGAAGCGTAGGTGAAGGGTAGGTGAACAGTATAACGGACGTCTTCCCTTTTGCGTCGTTCTCCGTGGGTCCTCTTCGTCTCTTGGCTTTTTTTGCGGGCAGTGACCACTGTTTTATAGGAAACATTGTTCTTTACACTATTTACATTATTCGAACTGTTGTTCTTATCTTTATGTCGGCTGTTGTACGCTCCGACCTTCTCCAAGTGATATATGTTGGAATTTCGAAACGACCCTTTTAGTCCAGTGGGGTACATTGTTCTCGTTCCAGGTGCCATGCCGTTTGTGGATATCTTTGTTTCAGTAACTCAACTCTCAAAATTTTTCTTCACCTCTGCTGTGGTCAGATATTGAACTCATAACTGAGGACCGGAGCGTACAACGAGTGAATATGACAATAGATATGAGGACAAAAGTCCGAACAATGTAAATAGTGTAAATAGTTACAATAACTCATCTCCGAAATATAAACTGTGAATATGGCAATAAAGATGAGGACAACAGTCCGAACAATGTAAATAGTGTAAATAGTTACAAGACCTCATCTCAGAAATATAGACTGTGAATATGACAATAAAGATGAGGACAACAGTCCGAACAATGTAAATAGTGTAAATAGTTACAATACCTCATCTCAGAAATATAGACTGTGAATATGGCAATAAAGATGAGGACAACAGTCTGAACAATGTCAATAGTGTAAATAGTTACAATACCTCATCTCAGAAATATAGACTGTGAATATGGCAATAAAGATGAGGACAACAGTCTGAACAATGTAAATAGTGTAAATAGTTACAATACCTCATCTCAGAAATATAGACTGTGAATATGGCAATAAAGATGAGGACAACAGTCTGAACAATGTAAATAGTGTAAATAGTTACAATACCTCATCTCAGAAATATAGACTGTGAATATGGCAATAAAGATGAGGACTAAAGTCCGAACAATGTAAATAGTCTAAATAGTTACAATACCTCATCTGAGAAATATAGACTGTGAATATGGCAATAAAGATGACGACAACAGTCTGAACAATGTCAATAGTGTAAATAGTTAGAATATCTCATCTCAGAAATATAGACTGTGAATATGGCAAGAAATATGAGGACTAAAGTCCGAACAATGTAAATAGTGTAAATAGTTACAATACCTCATCTCAGAAATATAGACTGTGAATATGGCAATAAAGATGAGGACAACAGTCTGAACAATGTAAATAGTGTAAATAGTTACAATACCTCATCTCAGAAATATAGACTGTGAACAATAAAGATGAGGACTAAAGTCCGAACAATGTAAATAGTCTAAATAGTTACAATACCTCATCTGAGAAAATAGACTGTGAATAAAAAGATGACGACAACAGTCTGAACAATGTCAATAGTGTAAATAGTTAGAATATCTCATCTCAGAAATATAGACTGTGAATATGGTAAGAAATATGAGGACTAAAGTCCGAACAATGTGTAAATAGTGTAAATAGTTACAAGACCTCATCTCAGAAATATAGTCCGAAACAATAAAGATGAGGACAACAGTCTGAACAATGTAAATAGTGTAAATAGTTACAATACCTCATCTCAGAAATATAGACTGTGAATATGGCAATAAAGATGAGGACTAAAGTCCGAACAATGTAAATAGTCTGAACAATACCTCATCTGAGAAATATAGACTGTGAATATGGCAATAAAGATGACGACAACAGTCTGAACAATGTCAATAGTGTAAATAGTTAGAATATCTCATCTCAGAAATATAGACTGTGAATATGGCAAGAAATATGAGGACTAAAGTCCGAACAATGTAAATAGTGTAAATAGTTACAAGACCTCATCTCAGAAATATAGACTGTGAATATGGCAATAAAGATGAGGACAACAGTCTGAACAATGTAAATAGTGTAAATAGTTACAATACCTCATCTCAGAAATATAGACTGTGAATATGGCAATAAAGATGAGGACTAAAGTCCGAACAATGTAAATAGTCTAAATAGTTACAATACCTCATCTGAGAAATATAGACTGTGAATATGGCAATAAAGATGACGACAACAGTCTGAACAATGTCAATAGTGTAAATAGTTACAATATCTCATCTCAGAAATATAGACTGTGAATATGGCAAGAAATATGAGGACTAAAGTCCGAACAATGTAAATATGTAAATAGTTACAAACCTCATCTCAGAAATATAGACTGTGAATATGGCAATAAAGATGAGGACAACAGTCCGAACAATGTAAATAGTGTAAATAGTTACAATACCTCATCTCAGAAATATAGACTGTGAATATGGCAATAAAGATGAGGACAACAGTCCGAACAATGTAAATAGTGTAAATAGTTACAAGACCTCATCTCAGAAATATAGACTGTGAATATGGCAATAAAGATGAGGACAACAATCCGAACAATGTAAATAGTGTAAATAGTTACAAGACCTCATCTCAGAAATATAGACTGTGAATATGGCCAGAAATATGAGGACTAAAGTCCGAACAATGTAAATTGTTACAGTAGCTCATCTCATTGTTCTTTGTCTTGTCATTTTTGTGTAAAAACGTAATTTATCTTCATTCAATGACCCTTTTTGTCCGAACCACTTGCCATGCACCTGTGAAGTCTACATGAGTCTTATGAAAGGTTAGCCTTTTTCCATTTAATAAAATATCAGCTGACACTGATATCGCTACAAATATCTCTAAACACAGACTGTCATTCAATATTTTTCTGTCTCTTGTTTTTTTTTTCTTTCTAATTTTCATTCGTCCATTTTCTTTTTGCAGTTAATGCCGGCATTTTATTTCAATATATTCGACTTCACGCAGGATGAGCCCGACATTTTGCAATTTGATGTAAAACGGTGCTACACTAACGTACAAAGAAAAAAATTCGATCTTTACTTCGACAGCAAGTATCATTCCTCAGTTATTTTTCTACTTAATATTGTTGTAATTCTTTTCTTCTTCTTCTTCTTCTTCTTCTTCTTTCTTCTTCTTCTTTTCTTTTTCTTTTTCTTCTTCTTCTTTCTATTATATGTACTCATGTGTAAAGCAACTCCTTTTTATTACGTTTTAGGACATATTTTCTTTTATCAATTTATTTATTCTTTATTTGGCCGGTAGGCGATATAAATACTGTTTAGAAAACGGGTCTTCCTACTCATATACGTTTAACCACTAATCGCTAATTTAAAAAAAATCAGATTTGAGATAAAAAATCCATTACCTCTTTAGAAATTACTTTGTTTACCTTTCGGATACGAAAGTGAGTTGATATGAACGTTAACATAGGCTTTAAGGAAAATAGAACCGTTCTTCGCTAAACATCTCTCCGTGGCCGAGTGGGTTAAGACTCATTGGTATTAGACGGCGGTTACTCTTACGATAAGGTGGGTGCAGGGGTTCGAATTCTGCCGAAGGATAATAGATTTTTCGAATGCGCACGATGGTCCGCAATTGAAACACTGTTTAAAAACAACACGTTCTGTTCAAATACGGATGTCCAATAAAACAACATTTGAAGCAATATCTATAGTTTTCTGTTTTGTAGGAAAGTGTGGATATCAATAATTGTCTGTAGCTTTTAATTCAGTGGATGCACAGGGAGCAATGGATAAATTGTCGTCTAAGTTAAGCAAGAAATATCACTGATATCACATTTTAAGAAATATATTTACCAAAATTGCACAAAAAAATCTTGAAATGCTAAATAGTAAATTGGCTTCAACTGCGACCTCCAGACGACTTCGGAATCTCCCGCATCTCTTCTGGACGGTCTCCTTGTTTAAGTTAGTGAATGATGCCATAATTGTTGCCTTCAGTTCATCTTTGGTGTTACAAGAAGTTTTGTTGAGTTTTACGAGCTGCCGTTCCTTCGTAATCACAATTAGACTCATCCAACTCTTTCCAAATGCTTTCCTCAGACTGAAACCAAAATACTCTGAAATGTTCGCATTGGTGCTTCCAGCGCGAATGCCAAGCAGTACAGCATTCTGTTTCCAAATTTCTGGCACAATGAATTTCCTCAAGGTCCTATTTTTCTCACAGACGGTGCCCATACTGGGCGATAAAATTAAAAACAAATAACGTTCATGCGCGAAATTAAAATTATAAAATGGCAACAATTTACGCATCGCACCGAGTTTATGTTTTTTGGTTTTCTATATCGGCAATATATCAAATTTCAAATCTAAGCCAAATACATCTGTAAAAAGACAAAAGGAAAGAGTTTTTAGCTAACGCGTTTTGTCCTCCGATGGACTTTATCAATGCAAATGAAAGGATTTTATTTTGCGTAAAAATTTTCAGTGTTGACATAGACTACTCAGAACTTCGCAAAAGGAAAGCACACACACACACACACACACACACACACACATATATATATATTAGTGAATATACAATATAATATATAGACCAGAATTTTTTCTCAAGGTTTCTTGTAAATTGTGAGTAGATAGATGTTTTTTTTTATTATAGCACTTTGATCTGATAAGTGAGAATATACATACATATATATATATATATATATATATATATATATATATATGAATAAAGCCAACGGAGAGGACCATAAGATTTTTAAAAAGTTTATGACAATAAAAAATTGAAAATTGAAAGAAAACGATTAATCAAGGCCTATTATTCAAAATACATAAACTATTTATCAAATTAATTTAAATAATAAATAATAATTACATTAATGCATATATAGTGACACCACCCGCAACTCCTCGAACGGCTCCACCAGCGTCGCCTCCGCACGATACTTAACATACACTGGAGACACTTTGTCTCCAATAATGAAGTTCTTGAAAAGACGAAGATCGCCAGCATTGAGGCCATGCTGCTGAAGTCCCAGCTATGCTGGGCTGGACATGTTTCCAGAATGGAGAATCATCGCCTACCTAAAATTCTATTGTACAGCGAGCTCTCTACTGGCTGTCGTGGAGGAGGTGCGCCAAATAAGCGATTCAAAGATTTCTTGAAAAATCCTTTGTTGCCTGTCACATTAACCATTGCCAATTGTCAACCCTAGTTGCGAACCGTGACACCTGGCGTCTCACCACCAATCATGCTGTCTCCTTCTTTGAAAATACCTACAGGGTCACTCTCAGGGACAAGAGATAGAGGAGGAAGTATCGCAATGATATGGCATCGGGCCCAGTCCAGAGTTTTAGCTGCAACTACTGCGACCGAGTCTCTTTCTGTCCCGCATTGGACTTATCAGTCACAAACGTGCCTGCAAGCGACGAGATAGATATATAAACGCTAAGAAAATAAAAAAACAAACAGCATTAGCCATAGTTTACCTTTACTTACAGATTTAGCTTGAAGTATATTTTACAGCGTTATTAAATTTAAAAATGTTAAAATATTAACGATATATTTTTTTACTTCTTTGTATAAATACATGTTTGCAAGATAAAATCCTTACAACTACCTTGATGAAGTCTCTCAGGGGACGAAACGTGTTGATAAAGAAAGGTTTTCCTTTGTCATTATTCATGTCTTTTTAGAGCTATATTTTCTTTATATCTGAATGTTCACACACACACACACACACACATATTTATTTTAGGATATCACATCGAAAAACATGTCAAAATCGCTACACAATTGCAGTCGTGTTTCGATCCGTATCAAATGCATCTCATGAAACGATTGCAAATTACTGGCGAGTGAAAGATCCTTCACTCGTCAGTAATTTACAATCACCTGATGAGATGCATTTGATGCACATCGAAACATAACTGCAATTGTGTAGCGATTTTGACATATTTTCGATGTAATATCCTAAAATAAATAATATTGCTCTACTTTATTTACATTATTCGGACTAATGTCTTCATCTTTGTCACCATATTTATTACAACGTTTCGGCCGTTGTACACTCCAGCCTTCTTCAGGTGGTTGGAATGTCGAACTGAACCCTTTATTTCTCTCGCTGGGTTAGACTGTTCTAGTTCCACGTGCCATGTCTAATGGATGTCAGTCATCAGTTATCTCCTGTTAATTTCCTTCTGATAACTGAGAACTGACATCCATTAAACATGGCACGTGGAACTAGAACAGTCTTCCCCAGTGAGCGAAATAAAGGGTTCAGTTCGATATTCCAACCACCCGAAGAAGGCCGAAGCGTACAACGGCCGAAACCTTGTAATAAATATGGCGACAAAGATGAGGACAATTGTCCGAATAATATAAATAATGTATGTAATAACTCATCTCAGAAATATAGACAGATTGCTCTACTTTGCATTGAGCCCGCTTTTAAATTAAATGTTACGAACGTTGGAATTGTACTCTATTCGTTCCCATCTTACCTATATATATATATATATATATATATATATATATATATATATATATATGATCGAAATAAAGGTGTAAAATTTAATATTACAAGACATATTAAAACAATGTTAAATAAAAAAAAAATACATATATGTACATATATATACCTGTATATATGCAAGAAGGAACTAGAGGCAGATGATGATTTTTTTCCACCTATTCTGATTGTACCTTCTCTGTTTTAATTTTGAATCTCCCGTGGAAGCCTGATGAGCGGGAGCGAAACCGGTTGCTTCCACCCCCCCTTGTTGTTGAGTGTTTTTTTTTTATTATTAAATTTTACACTTTTATTTCGATCATTAAATTTTGTACTTACAAAATTATCTTTAAATATATATATATATATATATATATATATAATTCCTTCGACTTTTTCAGAAAAATACCAGATTCATATCATGTCAGCGTTTAATAAATTCAAACTTTATCTCGTCACGTCCGTCTCACTTGCTTTGGGAATCTCTCCACTTCGAGTTCAAAACATTGAGGTATGATATCTTGATTCCAGTTATTGTTTCTTTGTGAAATTGACTGTTAAAAATATTTAAAAAAAACACACATAAAACAAACAAACATACAAACAAAGATTGCTGCTACTGTTTAGAAGATGTATCGTTTTCAAAAGTCCAAGTTATTCCACAGGTAAAACTTCTAGAATCGTCAACTATCGTTTGGTTAGTATAGTTGCAGTATAAGACACAGGTCAGTTCTGTGAGTGTCGAATAAATACCAGTGGGCCGAAACAGGCGTTTGCAAACGGTACTGGCTAGCTGCCCCAGCAGGCTGATTTGTTCGAAAACGAGATGCCAGCCTTCATCATAATACCGCCATGAACTATTTTGTCGTTAATATTATTATCTTAGGTAGATCATAAATTGTTGTGGATTCCGAGATGAATTCGGTCTCCAAGGAATGACAAACGCAATAATTAAATATAAGAAATAAAATGTATTTACACAATCATACAAAGAGTAATACTGTTAGTAAATCCAGGAACGCGGTTAGTAGCAAATACAGATGGATATATACAGTCTCGAAGTAGGACTTCCTTAGAGTCTACGTGCTTGTAACTGACTTCTACAAGAGGTTACCTCACTCTATCTCCGTTCGTATATTCTCTCTCTCTTCGTATATCCTCTCCCACTGACTGTCTAACGCTGGGTATTTAACGGCAGCACTCCAAGTAACACTGGTAGATTCCACTTATATGAAAAGGGGAGGACCCCTTAACATAAATAGAAAGCAGAAATACCGTAGGATCGAGAAGAGAGGGCCTTGTGTGGAGGACGCCTTTAGCGATCATATATGTTTCAGAGGTCTGGCCATTAACGACGACCTTCACGAATCTACCTGATAGGAAATACTTGATTTATTCAAAAAGAAATTTAAATGTGGATTTTATCCGCCGGCTAATACAGTGGTATAATTTCTCTTTGCGTTTCGTTTTAAAACCAGTGTTGAGTTTTGTTTTTGTGCATTTTTTAAAACTGTTTTCTTCTATGCTTTTAAAATTTCTGTGATCAGAAATTTAAAGGTCCCAATCAAAAGACGTATTTTCTTGTGAGGCATTAAAATCTTTTTCCTTGTTTCGAAAATGACTGAATTCAGATTGATTTTATTTCAGGTAGATCCTACAGGTGGTTATGGTGTAGTTGCTTCTTTTGAGATTATGGACGCTGCCCCGAAGATTGGTGACGTGGAACATCCGATTAAAGAGAAAGATCTCAAGTCAGCTGCGAACAAGTTGCATCAGTTGCTGAGGGACAAAAAACTGGAAGTTTACTTACAAAGTTATAAATCGGTACGGACGTTATATAAACTTCAGGATTTTACTGTTTGAATTTTCTTAAGTTATTGACTGAATAAGCTCATGGCGAATTCTACGAATATAAAATAACCATGGAAATTCCACTGTTGCATCGTTGAATATTTGAACTTAACAACTGTAATAAAATACTGCAATAACGATCATAAATACGAGGGCGAACTGAAAAGTCCATAGGCTGACTATGAAGGAGTGATGCTAGAGCTGTGAAACCTTGCATGCATTAATTTCAACTCTTATGAATAACTGCATTTTTTCTTTTCAGATACGAGTGTGGGCTAAAATGTTCATAGATTGACTATGAAGGAGTGATGCTAGGGCTGTGAAACATGCATTAATTTCAACTCTTATTAATAATTGCATTGTTTCTTTCCAGGTAAACTGACATCTGACTGTTCAAAGAAGACTTCAAAAGTAACTAGTAGCAACTTCTCTTTAAAATTGACAAAATTTGACGTCGCCGTGTTATCAGTTACCTGCAGAAAAAAGGTTCGGCCCCTAAAGATATTCATGCTGACATTGTTGTTACATTAAAGCATGAAGCCCGAGTTTTATCAACAGTGCCAAAGTGGACAGCTGAATTTAGGAGGGGAAGTGAGGGTCTTGAATGTGAACCAACGTCTGGACGTCATGCAAATGCCACCACCGTTTGACCACATGATAATGGATGACAGGCGGTTGACTACAAATAGCATAACCCGTGAGAGAGTTGAGAATATTCTGCACAATGAACTTGGCATGTCAAAGGTTTCTTCTCGATGGGTGCCACGTCCTCTGACACCTGATCATAAGCGTACCAGGCTGATCGCATCGAGGGAAAACCTGACATTGTGTCAGATCCAGCTAGTTTCCTTGAACGTTTCCTAACCCAGGATGAGTGTTGCGTTCATCACAAAGAAACAACCCATGAAGTGGAAATATTGTTCTTCACATGCTCCAAAGCTGTAGGGAAGGTGGTGGTCTCAGTTTTATTAGATGCAAAAGTAAGTGTGCTTATTGACTATCTTCAAAAGGGACACACCATCAATGGAGAGTACTATGTCAAGTCTATCAAGATCAAACACCCAGAAAAACTAACGAAAGTTTCAATGACTGCATGCGTGACTGTAGCTTTGAACTGGTTGACACTCCACCTGATTATTCTGATTTGACTATCATCTGTTACCCAACACGAAAAACACTTGTCTAGGAATCGCAGTGGTGATGACGCCATATCTTTTTTGAACAGTCAGAGGACATCAGTTTTTATGGAAAGAAATAATGGAGTTATTAATAAAAAGGGTTGAAATTAATGCATGCAAGATTTCACTTCTTCAAAGTCAGCTTATGAACATTTCACCACACCCTCGTATAAATATTTAAATAAGTATGGGGGTAAAAATGCAAAGATTTGATATTTTTTTTCATTTGACTGAAGCAGGCGTTAGACACATGAGAATGTTATTACTTTATTGTCTCTTTCTTTCTTCCTTTCTTTCTTTTGCTGAAACCAAACAGTGTCTCTGATATGTGTTTTCCGTTTTTCCTCGCGCTCAAAACAGAAATTCTATGAGGTATTATCTTAGCGTAACGTACCAACAAAGGAACAAATGAACAAGCAGCATTATAGTATGATTATAGATTTATTCGAACTCGGGTCCTCATCTTGGTTGACAGTCAACAACCTTTCGATCTTTATATACTCCAGCTTTCTTCAGGGTTTTAATGCATACTTCTGAAAAGTTTGGACAAAATCTTTTATTCCCCGCTTCAAGAATTCAAAGTGTTCTCATTTTTCTATTCTTACCAGAATATCGCATCAATAGTTCTGTTTATTTAACTGATGCACGGTGCACATGTGTGTCTTGTGTCATATTTCGTAGAGTTTCTGATACCCGTGTGAGCCCATTCGAGAAGTCAGTGAATGGTTGATGTGTGATCAAAAGTTTTCATGAAGTTCTCATATATAAACAAATAAAATTGAATAGACAAGGGATTTGTTCCTTTGAAGCTCCGTCTTCTAAGCGGCGTCCACTGTGACCGAAAAAAAGTAATGAAGGTTTTTGGCGATCAAGTGGCACCAAAACCGGGAATAGGGTATATCCGTGCGCGGGGTCTATGTTAATAGTCATGCTTGGAACCGTGGAAAGTTCTGGTCCGTCGTTGGCTAGATATGGCTGTGTCTATTGAACGGTTATCAAGCCTATATTTAGCATCAGTCATCACCTTGGGATGAGTAGATAGGTGTAGAGATGGTAGTGACAAGAGCTGATGTAGCAACCTCTTGTCCCAAATATCACCTACCTTGCCACTACGACGAGCAAACGAGTCTCTGAATATAACATGTACATATAATATGGGGAACAGGGTTCGCGTTCTTATTTCTCGACATCCCATTTGTCTTCAGTATCTGTCTATATTTCTGAGATGAGGTATTATGTACACTATTTACATTACTCGGACTATTGTCCTCATCTTTGTCGCCATATTTATTACAAAGTTTCGGCCTTTCAGTATCTGTCTATATTTCTGATATGAGGTATTATGTACACTATTTACATTACTCGAACTATTGTCCTCATCTTTGTCGCCATGTTTATCCCAACGTTTTGTCCGTTGTACGCTCCGGCCTTCTTCAGGTGGTTGGAATGTCGAACTGCACCCTTTATTTCACTCACTTAAGACTGTTCTAGTTCCACGTGCCGTGTCTAATGGATGTCAGAGGAGATAACTCACAGAAGAAGAAGAAGAAGAAGAAGAAGAAGAAGAAGAAGACGGGATAGTAAAAAGACTAAATTTACTAAGAATTACAAAGGACAGTAACTTGTGGAGAGCCATGATCGCTCATGCTCTGAAGAGACACGGCACATAGAAGAAGAAGAAGAAGAAGAACAACAACAACAAAAGAAAAAGAAGAAGAAATAGTAAAAGACAAAATTTATTAAGAACTAAAAAGGATAGGAAATTGTGGAGAGCCATGATCGCCCACATTCTGAAGGCACACGGCACTTAAAAAAAGGAGGTATAGCAAAAAGACAAAATTTACTAAGAGTTACGAAAGACAGGAAATTGTGGAGAGCCATGATACACAAACACAAGAAGAACTAGATGTCAGGCCTCAGGCTGTCCAATCTAATGTTAATTTCATTTCTTCCATCTCTAGGCAAATATCTTTAGACTCTTGTGTTCTAAGACATAGAGAAGGTCCTGAAAAGATATTCATAAATTTGATGTGCTGAATTAAGCTACCATTTTCATTTTTTTTTTCTTTATCGCGTTTTTTATTCTCAAAAATGTCTTTTCTAATGTTGAACAAGAAGTTAATATTTAAATTCTAACTAACGTTCAGTTCACGTATCTTTTTCTGAAAAACATTTTCGTAATTGCTGAAAAGATCCCAAGAAGATTCCTTTTCGCCGAACACAAGAAAAAATCAAATTAGAAGAAAAACAAATTTGTTACGAGAGTCGCGAAAACGTACTCGGACTAAGGGAATTCTTCAGTATTGAAACATTATATACTGGGTGACTAAACTTATATGAATAAAATATTTTGTCACCAAAATTAGCTGAAAATTATTGCAGCGGTCTATCAAACTAACCTTCTACTATTTGCCGTATCCCGTCGGGATGTGGGTGATCATGGTCCTTCACAACTTCCTATCTTCTGTAGCTTTTAGTATAGTTTGTCTTTTTGGTATCTCTACTAAACCCTTTACTGTCAAATATTTGCCCAATGTCGTTAAAAATTCCGTTAAAATTATTTTCTGTCCTTCTTGCCTTCAATATATCATGTGAGTGTTAAATTTTCTAAGCCCTCTTTCCTCATTATGTGCCCTAGAAATTTCAATTGTCCTTTTTGTTGAAATTTTCCCTAAACAAATTTTCCTTAAAACTTCGTCGTTGCCCACATGTTCAGTCCATGCTATTCTCAGTATCCTTCTGTAGAACCACTTTTCTGTTGCTCTAAGTCATTTCATCTGTGATGAGATTGTACATTATTCAGTGCCATATGAGAGATTTGATATTATTACATAAAAGTTAAATACTCTTTTCTTTGTTTCTAACCAAATTTTCTGTTTCTTAATACCAAGCTTAGTTTTTGGCATGCATATTTCGCTATCCTAACCTTCCTGGGTATTACGATAAACTACATCCGCGTCCTGGGTATGACAAACTACGTCCAACACCAAGGCCTCTGTTCAGGAGGTTTTGAGGAGCGTGGAACGACTTCTTAATTTCTGGTGTTCCCAACTCCACCCTAACCCGGGGTGGTAGAACCTGTTAGGGTCCCAGCTATGAGTTAAGACCTAAAATTGGGTCAAAATACTATGAAAGTGTAAAAATAGGTTTTAATACCAGAAATACTTTGTAAAAAAATATTAGCAGCAATATATTTTTGAAAAAAGATATTACCAGCAATACATTTTTTTTTTAATTGTCGGCATTGAAAAAAATTGTCGGCATTGAAAAAAATTACGGCATATCAACCCATTGAGGTTGATATGCCGTAAAACTAACCAAACCAAATCGCTATCCTAATACAACTTCGGATTTTGGTATTTTCCGTTCTCTGTTAAAATATTTCCTAAATATTTTGATTTTTGTACCGGTCTGATTTTGGCCAATTTGTAATTCGCATGTTGGCTCTTCCTTTTCTCGACAACCATACCTTCTGTCTTCTTACAATTGATCATTAGTCCTTTCTTCTCGCTTTCCTTTATTTACAGACAATTTATAAAATTGTGGCATGACTTAAAAAAATGTAGGTTTCTTTGTTTTCGATATGGCCAAAGGTTAACAATTGATCTTCATCTCAAAGTCTCTTCTAAGATAATACAGGTTGACACTTGAGATGTTTGTTAGTAGATTAGAAATTATCTTCTTTTGAAGGGATGGGGTGAAAGGTCATTTGCTTCGCTACTGCTTACCCACTCACTAAGTGCAAAAGCAACGATTTAAGACGATATAGTCAACAATTTAACTGATATTAGCACAAACTCAACCATATATAATACATTTGACAAGAGTTTATTTAAGGTGGGGAAAATTTTCACAATTAATCTGAGAACAGATATTCACTATTAAAATTATATATTACGGTATTGTGATCGGAGTGCAGTACCAGTAGATGTTACACAACATTCATGGTGTACCAAAAATACTTTTACAAAATTTTGGGGCGAGTACCTCACACCAAAACATAAGTCAATATAACTATATGAGTCTGTGTATATTTCTGAGATGAGGTATTATGTACACTATTTACATTAGTCGGACTATTGTCCTCATCTTTGTCGCCATATTTGTCTCTGATAACCACCTTCACATAAGGCAGGCAGACTGTTTCTGAGTGTTGTTGTCCTCCGCCTCCTCTTGTACCCGCCTACTGTCATGTACCCAGGGTTATTACGTTGTAGGGTACTACTTATACTGAACAATTCCTTATTTAACGTCTCTGGGTCGTCACTAATGACTTTTGCTCGGTGTTGTAAGCAACGGACGATCCCTTTCTTTACGCTGTATGGATGGTGGGAGTCGAAATTGAGGTACTGTCCGGTGAATGTTGGTTTACGGTATACGGATGTCTTGAACCCATGCTCTGTTCGAGATATTAGAACATCCAGGAATGGGAGTGAGTTGTTACTCTCTTTCTCCATTGTGAACTGTATCGAAGGTTTTATTGAGTTCACATGGTCCAGTAGAACCTGGACATCTTCCTGGTGTGGCCAGAGTATGAATATGGCAACAAAGATGAGGACAATAGTCCGACTAATGTAAATACTGTACATAACTATATGACCACAAATCCTTCGTTTTTGAGTTATTAAGTTTAAAGAAAGTTTACAGGAGATGGCGCTGTGTTGTCATGTGTACTAGGTTACATTTGTTATTCGTGTACATTTGTGGCTAGTCTGTCTTCAATGTTTAATGTGTGTAGTAGTGAATTAACTGATAAATATTCCGTTTAACAAAATTAAACATAGTATATAAATAAAGGCACAGTGGAGTAATGGATAGTGGCTCAGATTGAGGAATCGGAGAGCCGAGTTCGAAATCCAGTCAGATCCATTACATTCCCTTGCGTGCTAATACCCTTGGGAAATCCTTGGAATCCTCTTCTCCCCACCCCCAACTATGGGTAAATAGAAGGACAGACCGGGTTCTATAGCCTTGGATGGCAACTGGTCTACCGCAAAAAGAAATGGCAACCTACTGGGGGAAAAATCTGCCTTGTCAGTCATGTATCGAAAGATACATGATCACCTAAGCGTGTATCACACATGGCATATAACTGACTGATATAAATAAAAGACACTTTAAGAAGAAAGGCTATATGGCTAACTGAAATGTTACATTGTATAATGTTTTTTTTTCTTCTAGTTGCCAACATTTCCGGTTAATGTTTGAATTCCTTTTCTATTACATCCCTCTCAACGTTAAGGTTTTTTTATTGGCTAAATTATCATCAACAACTATTATCTGTCTGTATTTCTGAGATGAGCTATTATGTACACTATTTATATTGTTTATATTGTTCGGACTATCATCCTCATCTTTGTTGCCATATTTATCACCCTTCGGGACTGTCGGTTTAATTCTTGTTGGATTTTTTAAATTTTTTTCAAAGATCGTTTCTTGGAATTGCAATGTCATATGAAAAGCACAAAATTTATTTTACACTTTTTATTTTGAATTCTATTTTAGATAATCACAGTCAGGCCGGTAGAATTTACAGAAACCCTTTCAAATTCAATAATTCCAACCACATACAGCGGAAGTAAGTTGTCACTGAATTCATTCTTATTTTCATCTTATATTAGATTTATTGAAAACATTTCGGCATTACTTAAATAGACTGGTCCCATCGTTAAAACATATTTTTGTAGTTTAGCAATCTTTAGGCCCCGACACTTGTCAGAACAAAAATATTAATTTTTTTTTTATCGTTTTAGAAGCGGGTGGCACTGTTCGTACTATTAATAAAATGTAAAATGGACCTTTGACTTTTAAAATGATATCAGAGATTAAACGTTTGTTTACAAATGCCAGTTTGAAAACTATGTTTCCGAAAGTGTTATCTGCATACGAAAATATTTTTTTTTATTTTACAAAAAGATGTCTTTTAAACAAAGAACAAACGGCTATGTGACGCGTTCGGCGGAGGAGGGGCGTATTCAACAAAAATCGAAAATTGCTTTTTTCACTGCAAATTATTCATAATATCATATCCAAGTATTTTACAAATTTCAAGCTCAATTTAGGTTTGTAGTTAATAACCACGCAATGAACATAAACAGTAGATTTGTCTGCGGAATATCGTTACATTATTGTTCCATAATTATAGTGTAACCATTAAGTTTTTTTGTCAAAAGCATTTTATTTTTGGCCATATATTAATTTAAAACATTCCTTTTTACAGGCTTTATTTTTGAAAATTCTAAATTTCAAAATTTTGCTATAGCCTATCAAAATAACTAGAAGAAAGCGATCTAAAAACAACAATGGAAAAGAGAGGTAACAAAATATAAACGAAATAGCTCCAGTTTGTTCAATTTAGGAAGCTTAGCATTGCAGCCAAAGTATTCTAAAATGCTGCCAATAACAAAGGAGAAAATGAAAAATACCTAACAACAAATCGAATATAGCATCAAAATTTATACTATTTTTTATTTATATGTTATCTAACCAATACATAATTGTTCCGTCCTGGGTATGACGGTAAACTACGTTCAACAGCAAGGCCCCTGATCAGGAGGTTTTGAGGAGTGTGGAACCACCTCCTAATTGCTGGTGTTCCCGGGTTCGCCTTGACCCGGGGTGGTAGCACCTGTTAGGGTCCCAGCTATGGGCAAATAGTTAACACCCAAACCCAGATCTCATCCTGGGTATGACGATAAACTACATCCGCGTCCTGGGTAAGACGATAAACTAGGTCCAACAGCAAGGCCTCTGATAATAGGTTTTTGAAAAATAATGTTGCTAGCCGTACGTTTTTGAAAAAAATCATATTACCAGCTATCCATTTTTGAGGAAAAAAATATTAAGAGAAATAGATTTTTGACAAAGCAAAAATATTACTAGGAAAAAAAAGTTGTCGGCATTAAATGACCCATTAAGGTTGATATGCCGGTAAAACAAACCGAACAATAATTGTCAACAATGCTTCCGTTCAACTTGATATTTCCTGTAATAAATTCTTAATAAATATTATTATCGTTTTATTTAAGTTTAAGGTAAGTCCTACATTTATAATTCCTTATGGCTAACCATGTTGATCAAAACTACCTAAAACTTTTAAGCGTATATTGCCGCAAAATTATCAAATGTTGAATACGCCCCCTCCTCCATCGAACGCGTCATATACATTTTTATAGGTTTTTTATTTTAAGAAAATATTTTAAACAAATAATTGTTTGTCGAAATAGATTTTGTCATTTTCTTTCAAAACTGTTTTGTTATTAAAGAACAAATTCCTTCATTTTTAACACTAGGATGGCCAGTTCTTTTGACATCTTTATTTACATTACGCCGTGAAGCAGCCATCTCTAATATATTTAATATTCAAGTCAGGAATAACAAGTCTGAAAAGAAATTCACAAATATTAGTATACCTCATACTGAAAGAAAGTGATTATATATATATATATATATATATATATATATATATATATATATATATATATATATATATATATATATATATGTAAGCAAATATATGGATATAGATCCGACAGTATGAAGAAAAATATACTGAGAAAACAAACAAAAATCTTAATATGCATATTCTGTATAAACATAAATAATATTAAAAAACATATCGGTCTATTTTTTTCATGTTGAATTTTATATGTTCTAATGTTAATTATGTTTTATGAATATGTCCTGATGATGGGCTAAAATAGACCGAAACGTCTGACGTTGACTTTATATTAACATTAATACAGCATAATTGCATATTAAGATTTTGTTTGTTTTTTTCTGTATATTTTTTTCATATATATATATATATATATATATATATATATATATATATATATATATATATATATATATATAAATTATGTGTGTGTGTGTATAGATAGATAGATAAATAGATAGAATGGGGACATAAACACAAGTATTATTGCTTGTGAGAAATTTTTCAATGCATTTTTACCCTATAAATAGCCTAGGTGTCAAAACGACACCTCGGCCATTCAAGGTAAAAACCTCAAATATCAGCTATTCCCTGAATATTTTTAAAGAATTAAGTCTGTTAAGCATCTTTGCTAAAATTCAATAATTGTCCATAAGCCTCAGCATCGAACCAAAACTAGTTATTCCATAGTAATTGGTTGAAAATTTGAAGGTGTCGAAAACGATACCTCGGCCATCCTAGTGTTAAAGTAGTGTCACATAAATTATCAAAATATGCAGATAGAAATGATGTAAGCACATTTTCAGGGCATGATATTGGTAAAAAATATTAAGTGCATATAACTCTGTAAAAGTCATGGATCGACTCTATCTCGTTATCATAAACAAGACTCCATTCTAAATCGATAACAAATTATTCTGTTGTGATAGATATCACGGTTTGAGTGACGTTTAAAGAATGTTTCTCTATTTTTTATGAGTGGACCAGTCTATTTCAGTAGTGCTAAGATTTTCAGTATATTTCAACAAAATCATTTATTGAAAAAAATTGCTTGTATTTATGATCTCTGAGCTAAAGTCGTCAAGTTACTTCGGCTATATTCAAAATATAGACAAAGTAATACAGTGAAATTTTTCCATACAAATTAAAGAAACTTTTTTGAAGCTTTATTTATCGCTAGTTCGTCCTATTTTCGTCTATAATCCCAGCGCATGGCCGCCTTAGTGCGATTGATTCCTGAAATTAAAGTATGATCTACCCTGATAGATTTAAAAGTTTTGTCCTTTTCTCAAGGGTTTAGGGCCGCACCTCTTTAAAACATTGGTTCCCGTATGATCACCGAAATTAAGCCGTTCTGGGCATGACAATAAACTACATCCGCGTCCAGGGTAAGACGATAAACTACGTCCAACAACAAAATTTCTGATCAAGAGGTTTTGAGGAAATTAGAACCACCTCTTAATTGCTGGTGTTCCACTCCGAGTGGTAGCACCTGTTAGGGTCCCAGCTATGCGCAAATAGTTAATTTTTTTTAACCCTAGAACACTAACCATGGGTATATAATACCCACCGCAAATTTTCCTATTTTTAATTAGAATTTTCAGTACCTGATTTTCATAACTAAATAATGTTTTTCAGTTCCTATTAATGTTAACTTAAAGTACAAAGTTTGAAGTGCCTTCATGTAAAATATTTCAAATAAAGATTTTTATTTAATATTTTTTTGATATTTTCAAAATCGGGTATGATATAGCCATGGTTAGTAGTGGTGTAACTTTAATTGATGGTTAGTGTTCTAGGGTTAATATCAGAAATACTTTGTAAAAAATTATTACCAACAATAAATTTTTGAAGAAAAATTATTAGCAGCAATATATTATTACCAGCAATACAATTTTTTTAAAAATTACCATTTGAAAAAAAAATATTCCTAGCAATAAAAATTTTGTCGGCATTAAATAACCAATTGATGTGTTGATATGCCGTAAAACAAACCAAACCAAACCAAACAGAAATTAAGCAACGTCGAGCCTGGTCAGTACTTAAATGGGTGACCGCTTAGAAATACCAGGTGCTCTAAACGTGGATGTTCGGGTGATGTAATAGATAATGGATTGGAATTGTTAATAAGAGAAATGAGTTCCAATTCCAGTTGGGTTCGTTATATTCACTTATTATTATTATTATTACCCTTAAGAATCGATCATTTCTCCCCCAAGCTATGGGTTATTTAATAAGAATCGTATCACTAATCCATTATTATCTCTAAAAAAAATTTTACAGTCTAAAACTATTTTCTGTCTTCAAACAACCTGTAAAGAATTGATAAATCTTAAAAAACAACCAATCTTTTCTTACTTGAAAACCTAAACTTGATTTAATAGAGGTACTTAGAATAGTATAATCTGTTGATTATGTTTTTTAAACACTTCCCCCAAGCAAGGCGATAATGCCACTAAGACGCATAAAAAAACATCCATAAAGCAAAAAACAAAAAACGTAAAGAAAGCTTTCTGGCGATTTATTTCTCCCTCGTCGGTTCTATTTTAATCATTACTTCCTGTGTGTAGTCATTACTTTCTGTGTGTAGTCATTACTTCCTGTGTGTAGTCGCCTAACACTCAGCGTGATATGGAGAAGATAGAAAAGTAGAAAAACGCTTTACTAAAATGACTTCTGATATTACGTAACAGACTAAGCGGGTATTCGAACTCGATTCTCTGATTCCATTACCCCAGGTCGATGGCCGTTAAACAAACAGCAGCGAACACTAAAAACTCACATCATTAGCAAAATGATTATGACAAGGGAGACAATTAAAAGAAATCGACACCTGACAACAAATAATGAAAATTAATTCATATTTTATAATATTTCACAAGCAAGAGGACATTAAAAAGAGATTTCTGTAAGAAGATCGGTTATGTAACTATTAAGTAATGTGTAATAAATAAAAAATATGTGTAAAATTAGTGTCAGCGGCCACAACCCCGGATGAACGATTTATTATTATTTCCTTTTATTTATGTGACTTTTACAGCTTCCATGTTTGGATTGGCACTCGGCATGACTATCATCGGAATGATTTTGGCAGCTTTGATTGTATTTAAAATCTATACTGCATAAAAATGTAAGTCTCGAACCACCTCATCGTAGCACATTAATTACAAAACGATTTATCTTTCTGTCGTCTTCTATTTATCATTCATTTCTATCTATCTATCTATCTATCTATCTATCTATCTATCTATCTATATCTATATATATATATATATATATATATATATATATATATATATATATATATATCCTTCGTTCTCATTGGATTTCTGTCTATCTATCTATCTATCTATCTATCTATCTATCTATCTATCTATCTATCTATCTCTTTCATTTCATTCTCATTCGGTTTCTATCTATCTATCTATCTATCTATCTATCTATCTATCTATATATATATATATATATATATATATATATATATATATATATATATTTCTTCCGTTCGCATTCGGTTTCTGTCATCTATCTATCTATCTATCTATCTATCTATCTATCTATCTATCTATCTATCTATCTATCTATCTATCTCTGTCTTTCTTTCGTTCTCATTCGATCTCTCTCTTTACCTATCATTTCTTTCTTTTGTCGTCGTCGTCCTGTTTCTATCTATCTATCTATCTATCTATGAGGAAATATTTATAGGATAGAATGCTCAATATCAGAGATAGAGCGTAGGTAAATACAAAAGTGGACATTGAAGTCAACACTCAGAGGTAACAGACTTTCATGCTAAACGCAATCATCAGGTCACATGCGTTGTGTTTTTTCTCAACTATTTATATATCAGTGATGGTCAGTGGTGCATTGTGGGTAGTCTATGCATATTTTTTCTTTGTTATCTGATGATTTTACCGAGGCTTGGTATGTTACATTGTTTTGTAAGCAATTGCCGTTTAAAAGATATTCATTCTTTATTCTGTAGTTACGTGGGGGTTTAATTTGTTATATATATATATATATATATATATATATATATATATATATATATAATCTTTCTGTCGTTCTCATTGATTTCTATCTATCTCTTTTTTCTTTCATTCTCATTCGGTTTTCTCTATATATATATATATATATATATATATATATATATATATATATATATATATATAACTATACTGTTTCGAAAAACCCTCGAATTTTGATTTGCCAATAATCAAATCAATCTCGAGGAAAAAAAAAGATCTTAAAAAAAAAGAGCTAGAAACATGAAAGTCTGTCGAAAAATATATATATATATATATATCGTTCTCGTTCAGTTTCTATCTATCTATCTATCTATCTATCTATCTATGTATCCTTTTCTTTCGTTCTCACTCGGTCTCTATAAATTTAACACAAATTTCTATTTCTTTTTTGTTTCAGGTCCTTGCAGGAGGATCGTGTATATCAACTGTCACCGAATGCATAAACTCACTTTAAAAAAAATTAAAATATCAACGATATATACTGAGAGTTGTGTCTTAATTTTGAAAATCTCAGTCCCTTTACTCATGTTTTCAAGCAAAAAAAAAAAAAAAAGAAAAAGAAAAAAGAATAATGCAATATATTGTAAATAAAATGTCTTCCTTTATTGTTAAACCATTAAGGAATAACCTATCTCTCCCAGCCTCATCACCGTTGTTACAGTAAACCCTCCTACAGTAGAATGAACTCTTCCTCCTCTCATAAATACTAACTTGAGGAGTCGGTTGGGGAGCCGGAGACACAGTGTTAACCTACCGTTCAGACGGACACCTCTATCTGCTTATTACTAACACTCTTGCTTTGTATATATCTGTTATTTCAATACACTTGTTCAACCTAGCTTCTTCCGTGTCTTTCTTTCTGGCCCCTAAACAGGCCACAACAACCGTGGAGCAGTCCGTACCAGCAGATTAGCAAGCCATTACTCTCCCCTCATTGCCAAGGACATATGTAGACTGACTAATCAGATAGAAGGAGGTACCTCATTATGGAATAATGGTTCTATAGTAAAGAAGTAAACTCCGACGAGATACAAACTCCTTTTTTGTATCCTAGAGCGCCCGTCTGCTACGAAAATAGCTTGTAGAGGATTGACGGTCTGCGGCTTTGTGTGGAACGAGGTTGAGGATTGAGAATCATCTGAGAAAATGAATACGACATTTTCAGGAAGAAATTCCGAGGCGTGTGTGTGTGTGTGTGTGTGAGAGAGAGAGAGAGAGCTATGTCCATTCTTTTATAAACTTGTAACAGTGCTACCTAGAGGGTGTTTTGACAGACCAGGTGTTAGTAATTCAATTTACACTTTATAATGTTCCACAGATGTGATTAACAATCGTCACTGTATTAAGTGCATAGACAATGAAGGAGATTATGCTGAAAACAGTTTCTGTTGCAAAATAAAGACATTATTTATCATTAGGTTAGGCACACGCCCACTCACTTATAAGATGCTATCAGAAGTTCAAGGAATTATGACAGCGTGGGTTCACCAAGTGTAGTACGAACGTTTACCGCTACGCTAAGCATTACTTTGAAATAGATGGGGGCGGGAACTAGGTGGTAAGGTCAGTAATTTAGTCATATATAATAACATCACAAGCATTGAAACCATTCTAGTAAAGGTACAATTTAGGTGAGATGGTATTGTTATGAGAATGGATGAGCATATACTTCCAAAATGGTGCCGTATGGACAACTACCAAACTCCAAGCGTTCAATTGGACGTCTACTCTTACGCTACAAAAACAAATTGAAAAACAACTTGAAATGTCTCAAATTTGATCTGAAAACCTGGGAAGTCCAAGCATCAAACCGAAAGAAGTGGCCTAAAACATTTTTCATTAATTTAAAGGGTTTTAATGACAGCAGACTGAAACACTGTGAACAGCTTCCTCAAACTATGAAGTAGAGAAACCATCAAAATCCTTCTTTAACAAATTTCATCTGTTAGTGTAGCCTTGTCGCCCGCAGCACAGCTGGACTAGTACCACACTTAAGAAAGCACAAATGAAATATGTCCTTCCCTTAACTGATTTTCTCCATAATTGTTATGGTCCAAGGTCCTTGTACCACGGTGATGGTCCAAGGTAGAACCAATAAAGAAGAACTCGAACACGGATATGGAATAACACAGATATATTACAAACAGGAATATATACAGAGAAGTAGAAGGTGTTAGTACGAACAATCAGGTTTAGTAGGGAGAACAATGTAGTGTCGATCAGTATCACTATTCCAATGTCTTGTAGTAATTGTCTGAACGCGACTCTGTTTCGGACTGCCTCTGACTCGACTGACTGACTCGCTCGCTCTGACTGACTGACAGAATACTGACGGACCTCACTCCATACTTCAGACTGAACGGTATTTAGTCACCCCGCCACGTGGGCATCATGTGGCACAAGGCCGGTTTAACGTGGGATTTCCGAGCCCGTGGGGTCGTCCAAAAATATGCCTTTTGAACCCGTATAAACGGGTTCAAGGCCGGCTTACCTCCCCGAATGAGACTCCGCCCTTCGGCGTAGCCTCGTTCGAGTTCCTCCCCGCCCGAAGGCAGAGAATTCAACCGATCAGCCGAGGCGCAGTATTTCTTACGTATGGAATAGTCCATTATGTTATTATGGGTAATGTCCCGTAACAATAATAGACTCTGCTAGCAAGCATAAGTGTAAAACAAAATGCAACATTCAATGCTGACCCTCATTTATCGTTCACGATTTTGTCAGAAATATATACGCCTATTCACCCATATAGTAGGCAATATATACACCTATTGACCCATATAGTAGGAAATATATACGCCTATTCACCCATATAGTAGGCAATATATATACCTATTGACCCATATAGTAGGAAATATATACGCCTATTCAACCATATAGTAGGAAATATATACGCCTATTTACACATATGGTAGGAAATTGCGTCCGGGACTAATACCCACTTTCGCTCTACATAAACTAGTCAATCTAACATGTCCAAGCTTGATAGTTGAGATCGATTTAAAACAAAGACTTAGCAACTTAGATTGATCGCCAATTCAATATCGTGTTCACGTCACATTATATCATGATCAGATATCCTTTTTTGAGTAAATTATTACAGTTTTCTATATCTGGATTGTACGTGGACAAAGATTTAGAAATCCACGCACTCGCACAACACAGCAACATATATAAATCGTCATCTGATACAATTATATTGCTGACAATTCGGCAATAAAAATGTTGATTAATGGAGTCAATTTATAATAAAGAGTTACATGTGATAAAGTACTTCATCTGTCTGATAATAACTTGCATATTTTCTTTTCTTTATTGGCAACATATTTTTTTTCACCCTTTCACCCCAAGCAAGGCGATAATGCTACTAAGACGCAAGGGATTACTTTGAGAATGAGAAGACATTAGTGAGGAGACATGACTATAAAAGAATAGGATTTAGAAAAACAATAGATGGAGATTGACGTTGCGTTTTCTTTGCTCCGTCGTCATCGAACTGGGATCAAAGTGTAGTATCTGTTCTCCTTATCTCTAATGCTAATTATAGCAGTAGCCGTTTTTTTTTTTTATATGGAAACATTCGGTAAGCACTGATCAAGCAGTCAGTGATACATTTGGTCAAAATTTAGAAATTTAAATTTTGAAATCTCGTCTACAATCGCTCTCTCACAGACGTGCTGTGGCTTCCCTCTGTCTTTTTTCTAGAGAACTGCTCTGACGAGCTACTTTCCCAAGCTGCATGAGCTTAAGAGTGTTACTAGGTTGGCATCTCGGTCCCACCCTTTCACTGTATAAACGGTTAAATGTAGCCGTCTCTTCTACTCCAACAGCTTCTTCTCTCGCACTTCCCGACAGTGGAACTCCCTTCCTCTTACTTGTTTCCCTGATAGCTATAACTTTCAAATATTCAAATGTAATGTCAATCAACATCTTCTGATGCCTTGATCTCTATATCCTTTCTTCAAACACTCTCTTTACTCTTACTCTCACTCTCTGTAACCCCTTGCGTGCTAGTGGCACTCCCGATTTACTTAAAAAAAAATCCAAATCTCCTTTGCCTCAAGTCGTCTCTTCTTCTGTTTAAAAATTTTCAATGACATATATATGAATTGATATTAGATGACATTTCTGCAATTTTTGTTTTGTTTCTTTCTAAGGAAATGCTTTTGATTCTTTATATAATCTTTAATTCCTTGAATTAAATTTCTTAAAATCAGCAAGATTTTATAGATGCCTACTTAAACAGACATATTTTCATTGACTAATTTCTTCATATGCAACGAGTTCTTTGCGGTCTAACTTTCGAGTTTCATTTCTCAAAATGCTCTTAATCTTAAAAAAAAAATCGCTAAAATGAAACCGAGATTTGTTTAGAATAGGCAGTCATAGAACCCGCTCTGTCATGCTATTTATCCATAGCGAGGTGGGGGGGAATAGGATCCATACCTTTCCCAAGGGTATTAGAACGTAAGTGAATGTAATGGATTCCACAGGAATTCGAACTTGGCTCTCCGATTCCTCATTCCGAGGCCCTATCCATTACACCACCGTATAACCTCATTAACATTATTAAACAGGATTCAAAGAAGACAGAAGATGACGACTGACGTTACATTTAAATTTTTGAAGATTCTATGTGACTGGGGAGCGAGTTCAACAGGTG